CTGCAGGAATGAATGAGTAAAGGTTTCAAGAATGAAATTGTTGCAGAAAACCCACTTACTTTTGTACATAAGTCCATGCAGCAGCCCTCTGGGTACAAGTACTGATGTATCTCCTTTTGTTGAGTTCTCTATTTTTTTTTTTATGAATATGCATATTGGGGAAAAAACTTCCATCTGCTCTCTTTTAGCTGATTATATCACATTTTGGAGCTGTGCATCATTATAGAGCTTCAGAGAAAGATGATCATTTACATTACATATGGGTATAAAGTAGAGAAGGAGTTGATGAATTGCAAACAAGTATAATTTATATGGACAAAGTGTGCCAGAAGTGCTTTTCACCCCATTTTACTCTGCAAATGGAATGATTCCTGCCCATTCACTTGGCGTGGTGCCCAAAAACTCAGAGAGGAAAATGATCCCGTTAGCCTTCAGCATCAGGATTCCACTCCTTCCCATGGAGGAACAGTGCTCTGCACTTCAGGCCCACCAGGGACCCCAGAAGGTCAAAGGAGATCTCTGAACACACTAATGCCATTTTAAAGATTTTTCCATCATGGCTTCTTAATTTATAATATACATCACGCAGACACACTAATACTCAGACTGTTGGTAATTCAAATGTGAGAAGTTTGCATGATGAAGAAAGAAAGGGAGAGTAATGAAAAGCTTGTATTTTCCTCTGCACTGTGATTTTCCCATGGCAGATCATTTGCCTAAATGCCCATAAACTTTGTAAATACGTAAAAATCTACATTTAGGGTGTCTTTCTAAGGGCTTCTATATGGGCTATATAGCACAGTCCGCTGTGACTCCATATTATAAAGACCAGGGAGGGCCCAAGATGCTGTATTAGGAGTAATGACCTCAGATCTTTCTTTGATTTCATTCATTAATACAGGCAGTTATTTATATATTCAATCATCCAGTCTTCAAAAATGATCATTCCTATTATGTGCCAAGAGTGAGGAAACAAAGCTAAATGCAACATAGCCTCTTTCTAAACTGTCAGAACTTGACAAAGGAATATTCAGTCGTGGCAAAATGGTCATTTATCTGGGAAGTTCCATTAAACCAGCTGATTCACAGCACAGTTGTCCCAGCCCTCAGACTATCTGTGTCTGAAGAATTTCAAGTCACCATGAGCCCATGCCTATATTCTGGTAGCATGTGCCCTGCTTTCATTTTGTGTTCAGATACCAGTTTTTATGCACACTGCATGCACTGTGCTCAGTGTTTCACATACATTATCTCATTTAACCAGCACAGGTACATGAAATGTTAGTATTACAGTTATTTGTATTTCATAGAGGAAAAAAAAACACGAACAAACCTAAGCCCAGAGGATAAGTGACTTACCCAAAGTCACATAGTCCTCAAACCAGGACCTCTGGGTCAACACTGGGTGTGATCAGATGAATTCAACAGTAGGACAGGGGGTAGGCTAAAGTAAGGGTTACTTCTATCTTATTTCTGTAGCCAGAAAACCTGGTCAAATTTAGAAACTGCTGTTCTTTTACCTATATTTAGTTCTATTCATTTTTCTCTCAACCTTTACGTAATTCTAGCATGACTTCCCACTTTATGAAGGAGTACTTGAAGTGTGCATCCGGATTAGTTATACAGTTTTCTTTGTTGGTGTGGGGGGATGGAAGCGTGTGCGTGTGTGGTGTGACAGAGTATCTAAAATTTCTTCATATTATTTTTCTCAGAACTTGGGCTTGTAACGGAAGTTTCTCAACATGAAATGTCATCATGTCATCAATTTGGCCTCACTCAGGAAGTTGCAAGGCGCTTGACTAACCTCAATGAATTGGATGTTGTCTAAAACCTGATAATCTTTAGCTGACTATCATTTTAGAAGTTTGAGGAGTTAATTTATTTCTTAACTATCTTGGAAATTTAATTGGTAAAAAAAGAAAAGTTTCTGATAAAAAATTTCAGAGTGAAAGTATATTGGAGCTTATATCAGCAATAGAATTGAGGGGGCAGAATTTATTTATTTATTTTTTTAAGATTTTATTGATTTATTTGACAGAGAGGGACACAGCGAGAGAGGGAATACAAGCAGGGGGAGTGGGAGAGGGAGAAGGAGAAGCAGGCCTCCCGCCGAGCAGGGAGCCCGATGTGGGGCTCGATCCCAGGACTCTGGGATCATGACCTGAGCTGAAGGCAGACGCTTAACCGACTGAGCCACCCAGGCGCCCCGAGGGGGCAGAATTTAAATGTTCTTATCAAAGGAGTATTATGAAGAGTTTATCCATTTATCTGGACTAAAATTTCTCTAACCATGCATACTTTCACCACACACTATAAGATATTCCTAGGATCAGAACAATCATGACATTCCAGAACAGTTTTATAACCTTTCTGTACTGAAAGACTCAGTTTATTCCAGTGAGAGGCTATGGCAAGATTCTAATGCAGATTATATGATCCAAAGGGCTTTTATTGGCATAGTCATGGGCAGCATATACATTCCGTGTCTCAAAATTGTTGAGTGAATAAATAAATGATTGAGACTGGGACTCTCACCACATTTCAACCTGGAAACACAAAGCCATCTGGTAACCATTAAAATATCAACTTTCTTTTTTTTTTTTTTTTTTAAAGATTTTATTTATTTATTTGAGACAGAGAGAATGAGAGAGACAGCACATGAGAGGGGGGAGGGTCAGAGGGAGAAGCAGGCTCCCTGCTGAGCAGGGAGCCCGATGCGGGACTCGATCCAGGGACTCCAGGATCATGACCTGAGCCGAAGGCAGTCGCTTAACCAACTGAGCCACCCAGGCGCCCTAAAATATCAACTTTCTAACCACTTTCACGTCCACTCTTGAAAGGCTCAGACTCCTGTCTGTCTCCTAGCCAAAAGCAGCAGAAAGTCTGTCTTTACGTTACAACCTATGAACTATGTCTTGCCTTTTTACTTCTCTTTATCCAGCGTCCATGGTTGAGAGAAAAACCCAAGGAAAGTGAGCAGCAGGGATCCAACAGATAAAATGAGGGCAGCAGGACTCTTTTAGTGTGATACGTACTTTTGCTACAGGTGTCCTTTTCAGTGCTGTGCTATGTGATGGGGCCATCGTTCTGGCAGCTTGAACCCCATGGTGTCTCCACTCCCCCCTCCTCCTCTCTTTGTAGGAATCCTGTCTCTCTTCCTCTTCTTCAGCCTCCTCAAGACCTTTGCAGCACTTCTGCTCAAAAGTATTTCCCCAAATCCTTGACTGGGTACCAGATCTTCATTTTGAAGGAATAGAAGTTGTGGCTGAGTAAGCTTCACCAGCGATTTCTACCATTTTACACTCAGGCAGTTCCTTACACGCTTCCTAACCTACAATTTCTTTGTACTCTCTAGAACTCCCTGAGGCAGCAGGTTGATTAAAGTTTAAAAATTATGGTCAGTGGCTGTGCTGTGTCCAAGGAGGTCCTAGAATAATCTGTTTAGAGTTGTAGCCATAGTCAGGAGCAGGGCCATGATGGAGGCAGCATGGTCTTGTGGATAATGGTCTTGTGGAAAGGTAAGCGCCTCTCAAATAGATAAAGTATAATATGGTAAGTCCTATAACCAACAGAGATATAAGTTGCTATGGAAACCCAGAGGAGAACACCAAAGGAAATCATGGAAGACCTCACAGAGTAAGTGACTTTTGTGATGAGTCTTAAGACAGAAAGCAAAGGGAGACTCTTGGATGTAGAAAATAGCAGGAGCCACTCAAGGAAAATAAATAGCATAAGAAAAGTCACAAAGGAAATAGTGAATTTGTGGAATTGCAAGGAGATTGTTATGGCCGGAGAGTGTAGAGTGAGAGGTGGGAGAGGAAAGATATGACTCATAAGGTAGGTAAAAATGGTTGAGAAGAACCTTATATATCCCAGAAGAAAGTTTCAAAATTATACTAAAGGTAGTGAGGAGCTGTAAAAAACAATTCCAAGCTGGAAGTACATGACTTGATTTACATGTTAGATCTTTCTGGAGGCTGTGTGGAGGATAGATTAAAAGGTAGGGCACTGGTAGAATAGGGGTCAGTTGGAAAGCTATTGCACTATTTCATACATGAGCTCATGAACTTCCAAAGCAAGACAGCAACCATGGGAATGGATAGAAAGCCATGAATGACAAAGCGCTTCTAGAGGTAGGACTTGATTATATACTGAATCTGTATGAGAAGGGTATACGTGAGATGAAGTGAGAAATGATTTTGTTTTGGGTAATTGGTTGGGTATTGGTGTCATTAAAGAGAGAGTTTTGTTTGGAATAAAAAAGGAGAGACAAAATTGTAGAGAAAAACCCAAGATTTGGGTATGTTGATCTGAAGCTTCTAGAGTGCTATGGGCTGAATTGGACCCCTTTCCCCACAAATTTGTATGTTGAAGCACTAACCCCTTATGTATGGTATTTGTAGATGGTGTTTTGGGGAGATAATTATGTTTAAATGAGGTTGTCAGGGTGGGGCCTTCATGAATGGATCAGTGCCCTTCTAAGAAAAAACACCAGAAAGCTTGCTATCTCTGACGTGAGAGGACACAGTGAGAGGCAGCTATCTGTGAGCCCCGAAGAACTCTCACTAGAATCCAACCATGCTGCAACCTGATCTTGAACTTTTGGCCTTCAGAATTCTAAGAAAATAATTTCTGTTGTTTAAGCCACCCAGTCTATGATATTTTATTATGGCAGCCTGAGCTGACTAATACGTTGAAGTATTCAAGAAGACAGATAACACAGATCTGGGGTTCAGGAGACAGACTGAGGTGAGATAATTCATTTGGGAATCTCACTGTTAAGAGAAATTTTGTCTTGGGCGCCTGGGTGGCTCAGTTGGTTGAGCGACTGCCTTCGGCTCAGGTCATGGTCCTGGAGTCCCGGGATCGAGTCCCGCATCGGGCTCCCTGCTCGGCAGGGAGTCTGCTTCTCCCTCTGACCCTCCCCTGTCTCATGCTCTCTCTCTCTCAAATAAATAAATAAAATCTTTAAAAAAAAAAAAAAAGAAATTTTGTCTAGAGGTCTAATATAAAAATACTTTCAAGTACCACTAATCTGGAAAATAGCAAGTGCACATAGTTCTTTTTATTATTAAAATTAGGGTATTTCACAATTAAAAATATTTACAATTAAAAATGAAACATCTGTACAATTATTAAAATTCATTTTACTAAATGAGAATCAACAATATCTTGTTATCTATACTTTTATACCAGATAACAGTGAAGAAATTAACAAAAAATAATTACTAAAACTCCACTGTGGATCAGGATAAAATGTCTCCAGTATTAACTCACACTCTCCCATTAAGTATAAAAATGAGTGTGAATGCTGCTTGGACAGTTGGTTAAACAAACACATGCTCCATTACTATTTGTTGAATAACAGACACAAAGGCAGAATGGACAGGTATGAAAAAAGGAGTTTTTTTCCTGCAGAATTTATCATTTCACACTTAAAGCTGAATAAAGTTATCTCACACATATCAAAGACTTACACTATACCTTTCCTAACACAGGCAAGTGAAATATTAACAGGTAGCATTTAAAATAATAAATATACATACTATTTACAATAATTGGGAATGTTAGAGACATGAACTTTTATGTAAAATCATTTAGATTAAAACATTTTAACTTTAGGCTGTATCGGGAAATGCTTACTTTCTCTCCTATTTGATCTTTTAGCTCAAGTAGAGTTAAAATGGAATGCATCTGTAGATATAAAGTTGAGAATGTGTGTTCAGTCACTTGGCTCTGTGATAGTAATCTTCTGTACCATGTCAGAGAGATTTTCAGACTCCAGATCTTCTTTGCCATTATCTGAATTTTCTGATGAGATATAACAACCAGAGTCCCTTGGGCAGTCGTCTAACTGTGACTTATTTAAGGAGATGTCTGGGCTTAAGGATGGGGGCACAGATTCATTTTCTTGCTCTTGAATAGCTGTAAATGGAAAAGAGGACAGCAGTTAGGAGAAGCCAAGACAAGTTTTATTCATGTACTCATTCGTCTTTGAGCTATTTTAACTGTACCAACCTTGACTTCATTACATTTGAAACTTCCTTGAGTAAACAATGTATTTGTTTATTATAAAAGAGATATTTGCACTCAAATATTCAAGCCCTGCTTTCCTAGAAGACAAAGTTTGCCCTTTTTTTTGCTCACTTGCAGTTTCATGGAATTCATGTGAACTGCTTGCATAAGCGAAGATCAATATGGACTTTCATTTTACATTAATGATAAGTTGCCAGAGAAAGCAGATTGTATCCACAGTTTGACTGATGCCTTGTCCAAATACTCCTTAAAGTAACATTAGAAAAAGTCATTTGTGGTTTAAATGTAAAATCCAACTCAATAGTGATCTTTGTGGACAGTTCTGGAATCATGATAATGTGGAATAATGAATAAAATATCACTCTGGGCAACAATGTATAGTAGGACTTCAGTTACTTGGAATTTAAGTAATAAAACTTAAAGTGTTCAGAATTTTTCTATGTTTGCATTCACCAGATAAATCAGCATAGAAACCAGGTTGCTTTTAGATAGTAAAACACCACCATTTTCATTGACTCTGCCTTATTTAGTCTTCTACATCTTTGTAGTTCCGAAGAACAATTATTTATATTCAGATTGGTAACTCTGTGTTATCAAAGCAGTATTCTAGATTCAACAGACTTTTTCTTTGAAAAAAATTAATACTAGAGATGTAACAAAAGATATTTTGAAGAACCTAAGCAGCACTATGAAGTCTTACTCAAGAAGCTTTTAGCATCAGAATTCTCTTGGTCAGTGTACAGTTTCTTTCCTTGCCTTCCCTGACACCAGTAAATGTGTGCTTCTCTGCATCATGAGATGGGTCCCTCAGGGAGGAGATGTATCTTCGGCCACAACCTGTCAGCTCTATCAGCATATCTAACCTCAGAGCTTCTCCGCTTTAGACGTTTGAATAACTCCACTTTGGAAGAACCAAACGCATACATTTCAGGGTGGGACAAAACCTCTGCCTTCAGAAGCTGTGCGCTTCATCCAATTCTGGTGAGAAGAAAGTAAATCCCAACTCCAAAATCCTGCAAGAAGGAAACTGTAATTTTCCTCAATAGACTTTATAAAAGTAAAATGCTAAGTAATTTATCTTTAGGAAAGCCATCCTTTATCTTGTCTACAGATACCCTGCTTTTTTTTTTTAAAGATTTTATTTATTTATTTGAGAGAGAGAATGAGATAGAGAGCATGAGAGGGGGGAGGGTCAGAGAGAGAGGCAGACTCCCTGCTGAGCAGGGAGCCCGACGCGGGACTTGATCCCGGGACTCCAGGATCATGACCTGAGCCAAAGGCAGTCGCTTAACCAACTGAGCCACCCAGGCGCCAAAGATACCCTGCTTTTTTAAATGCATTTTCTAGGCTTCAGATATCTTGCCAACATTATGTTCTACTGTGCATCCAAATGTTTATCAACATCCTTTACGAGAGAGAATTGAGCCGTGGTGCCCTAAGGCATCCTTGTATGTAATGAATTCACTTCTCAATGTATCTAGAATGGTACTCATTTATGTACCATCCACAGAAGAATTGAGAAAAGAGTCACATTAGTTTTTGTATTCTGTGGTTTAGACGAGGAATACAGGTTGAGAAAGGTTGGGAAAAAATGATAAAGATCATTTTAGTCTACTCATCTTCAAAATGAACCATAACAGTTCTTTTAACCTTTTCCTCAGAGCTTTAATTTGCAACAATAAAACCATGTTTATGCCATTCTTCTGAATTTTCTCCATGTTTGCCACAACTTTTTTAAACTGTGGACTCAAGTATCAGATATTTAAGGCCAGTAATGTTATTAAAACTAGTTCTAGGTATCAGGAGCTTTAATTTTAATATGCATCGAATGTGACTGTTTAAAAATTTTAGCCACCATGAAGCATTTTCTCTTTATAAGTCTTAGCAACCGTGAAGTTTAGGGAGAATCTTCTTAATATTCACTAGTGTTTGTGAATATCAGTCAGTCAGCTCTGTGTTTCATTATCCAAGTGTTTCTGGAAAAGGCCAGAAAAATTAGTCCTTTTGTAATGCTTCCTGCTACTTCAGCAGTGATTCACCATATTTGGAGTGTGATCCTAGGCCATATTTCCCCAGATTATATTTGGGCCTATCACCTCAACACAAAATTAAAAGAACTTAGTTATTGCTCTTCAGACCGACATTTTAAACAGGACTTAGCATAATAAAAATTGCTCCAATACTGTGTTCTATTTAGGCTGATTACCGATTGTGGGACTCTCTTCAAGATATAAGACTTGGGCTTAAAGAACTCTGATTTCCAAAATTAGTTCTTTTTCTTTCAAAAAATAAGTACTTAGCTTGTTATTTCGTCTTCGGAAGCCTCTATCCATTCCCCTTAAAGGGTAACAAAGTAAACAAACAATGAATGAAAATCTGACGCTAACAGAGAATATGTCATTTTTAAATATTGGTAGTAAAATGTATTTGTTTTTATTTTTGCCTGAGAAATGCTATGTCACCTTCTCTAAATTCTCAGAATTCGTTTGTTTTAAATACAGATTATTTATTATAGGAACCCTTTATCTGCAGTTTTTATGGAAAAAGGAAATAGTTTCTCAGTATGAAAGTTATGCAGCACAGTAATTTACAGAATAGCAGCAATTTGCTAAATGATTTCCTAGTGAAATGAAAACATGACTTTGCCTCCTCAAATGCTTCCCACCAGGCTGGCAATAATTTCAGGCAGGTGATCAGCTGGAGCCCCTCAACTGTAACTATAAAAAGAAAAGGCAGGTCATTATGTTATATTATGGAAATGAAAGCTATATAGCATTCAGTTTTTGTGTTTGGAGGGTCAGGGTTTTCCTTTTCTTGTTTTTTTGTTTTTTTCCATCCTGACACTAATGACTTCGGGATTGGCACAAACCTAGGTCTTGTACTATGGATACTTTTTCCAGCAGAGGGGCTGAATTCATGCTAATATGTCCATATTTTCTTTCTAAGTCATTTAGTCCCTTCATGTGGCCATGAAACAGAGTAAAGCTAACTGACCCACCTAGAAATTGAAACTATAACCTTCATCAGTTTTGGCCCATGGTCCAATCATCTGAGTAACCAGGCAAATAACACATTGGGATAAGAAACAGTTTGCCTCCAAAATTACAGACTTGCCATGTGAGAAATGAGTGCATCTTTTTTTATATCAAAATGTTTCTGATAATATGTTAAGTTAAAAAAAATCAATAGACATGATTAAGTATTCTATTACTAAAATTATGTGAAGACCTATAGACTTATGCATATAATTCACACATGAAGTGTTAAAATTTTAGATAGATTTTCTCTATATTTCTCACATCATCTATAATGTCTTATATTTTAATTAAAAAACAAAAAAATTAAAATGGTACAGTTTTTCAATAAAGCCCCTGCATGGTTTGCAAATATTCCAAAGGCTATACATTTTCAAATCTGGGTATATTGGAGAATTATTAAATAATTTGAAAAAGGGTGTTTCTTTATTGCTGCCAGCTAACAGCAGGCATAATCAGAAGGCCAGAAAGCTCATATGGTTTCACTTATTTGTGGAACATAAGGAATAACATGGAGGACATTAGAAGAAAGAAGGGGAAAATGGGGGGGTGGGAATTGGAGGGAGAGATGAACCATGAGAGACTATGGGCTCTGAGAAACAAACAGGGTTTTAGGAGGTGGGGGAGGGGGGATTGGTTAGCCTGGTGATGGGTATTAAGGAGGGCACGTACTGCATGGAGCACTGGATGTTATACGAAAACAATGGATCGTGGATCACCACATCAAAAACCAATGATGTATTGTATGGTGATTAACATAACATAATAAAATTAAAAAAAAAAAAAAAAAGAAGGCCAGAAAGCAACCCCAAACATTTCTGTACTCGATATAATGAAAATAAAATAATTACGTTAAGGGAAAATTATTTAGGAAATATTTTGTCATAAAGAATTAATTTGAATATTAAAATATATTATTTCTTACCAAAATTTTTATGGAATTGTGTAAAGCCCATGGTTCAACATTTTAAGATAGTCATTGATAAAGATATAAAATGGCATGGTGATTAGAGTAAAACAGAAGACAGCTAACATAATTATTCATAAAAATATTGGAATTGCGACATTTAATTAGGAATAGGCAATCTCAGTTATACTAAAAGTGAAGAAAGCTTTAAGGAATTCAAACTAAACCCTAATTCTGGGAAAAAGTTCTCATATCCTAAAGAGAGAAATCTGTCCTATATTCACATAGGTTTCTTTCTCAACTTTCTTCACCCAAATAATCCAGATTTTGACTTTACTGTCTTGTGTGCCTTAGGTCTGAAGCTTCTGCTTCTTTGGGCTTCTGTTTCTTTTGGGTAATATAAAATAATGCAATCTACAGGGCATAAGAAAATGCCTGGTCAATGAAAGTGCTCAATAAACAATTTTTTTTAATAAAAAGAATGTGATGTTTAGATTAATTAAAAGAAGTAGCAACTAAAGATCAAATAAGAAATTTCGTTGAAATTCAAATGAAGATACCTCTTGGCTCTTTGAATTGTTGTCCCCTTTTTCTCGCCTGGTACCATCTCCAAAGAGGAAAAACCAAGCTATGTCATCCTCTTTGAGGATGGCTCAAAACCTCAGCTTCATGTTGGAGCCCCATTTGAGTCACTCAGAACAAAACTCGGGCATTCTCCAGGTATCTACGGCTGTGTTTATTTGTCCAGAGGCAGTGTTGTCCAAGGAGGGACATTCAGTAGACAACATGGCGCGACTCTTAGTTATTTCTGATTTCATCTTAAGCACATCCTTAAATTACCTGAACATGTTAGTTTTACAATAGTGACTTTTGGTATTCATGTCATTTGAATACTAACCTACATTTGGAAAAACAACAAATGGAAAACAGGAATCCCTTCATGGAAT